GGGCATATCGACCACCTGATGCAATAGTCCACTCCTCCCTTAAGCCCCGTTCACACTACATGATTTTTAGCTCCGGTTTTCCTCTTATGACAATCTTGGAACGTCCAGCGTTCTAAGATTGTCGCTTGTGATTATCGTAACCGATCATCCTGTAGTGTGTCGTGTGTTACGAATGATCGGGTCCAGTTGGTAGATCGTCGTGGCCACTCCGATCTAAATCAGGTTTTCCCCAACTGGGAGTGAGAGCGCAGCCTGCTGGATGTGACAGGTAGCCAATTAGAAAACACGGATTCCCCTCCGTGCTTTCCCCTCAGAAATCACGGAGGGGAATCCCAAACAGCTGACACGGCGCCCAAAGTCCAGCAGACATTGGAGATGATATGTGGAAACAATAATATTTATTCAACATTTCGTGCAAAGAATATAGAAATGACAGGAGTTGGAGCCAAATTGCTACCGCAGTTGATAAACCCGGTAAGTTTTCAGCTGCTCTTCGTTAACGTGACAAATAAGTTATGATTTTCATTCAGTCAGGACTTTACGCTGACTCTAGCCACATGCGTCACAGGTAGATTCTAGTAAAGCATTGATTAATGCCTGGTTTTAAAATTAGTTAACTGGACTTGTAGCCATTATTTTGTGCCCATTGTTCTCAATGTAATTTTAAAAATTAAAACTGTAAATACTAATTAACCGATGAAGCTTAGATTGTTTTCTGTTTTGTCATTTCTTTAAATCCACAAATGGTGAAGACAAAAAAACAGAATAATTCACCTCCATGTCATAGTGCAGTAAATAAAGCCTCGTCCTCCACTCTTTTTATCCAACGCCTTTTCTTTTTGTTACATCTTTCATCGCTTAAAATAAGCTCAAACTATCTGTAACCCAAGTTACATTCTAGGATTATTAAAGAAATAATCCAAGCTGGAGTTAATTCTTAAACTAGATTCGGCTTCTAGAGGAAGTGGCAAATTGTAAAACACAGAAAACCAGATGGTGCAAAATCGGTGTATTGTGTTAATATTTACAATATATACAAGTTTATCAACAGTTATTGAAGTTATTGAAGTCCACAATGGTTCCCTAATCCAAGGAATTCAAAATGTTCTTGCCGATGTTGAAAACAACAAACAATTAAATCCAATTCTTTCTGAAGAGGCCAGTCCAGAGTCAAGATTTTATGGACTGATGTCCCCAACCAAATCAGAAGAGCTTTCTTCGATGCCAGAAGTTGTTGTGGTGTTTCCGGATCCGCTAGTGGGTTAGCTCGCCAGTCTGGTTAACATAATACCAGGCAATCCATGATTTATCCTGTGGTAAACTCCTTTGACTGGGAATCTGCAAACACCTGGCCTGTACAAACAGGCCCAAACAATCAATTCACATGTACATGCATTCTGCTACAGTTAACCGAATCTACCTAATAATCATAAGTTGCAAATTCAATTTGTTTTTGCTTTTTTTTCCTTTTTACACAACAGTAGTGTTCTATTCAGACTGATAATATAATCGACTCAACAAGCTGGGAAAGCTAGTGCTAGCTTAGTAAAGGGGAGTAAAGGGGCCTAATAATATCGCATGCCCGACTTTGCAGTTTTTTATTTGTTAAAAAAGTTCAAAATATCCAATAAATTTTGTTCCACCTCACGATTGTGTCCCACTTGTTGTTGATTCTTCACAAAATATTAACATTTTTAGATCTTTATGTTTGAAGCTTGAAAAGCTACAAAAGATTGAAAAGTTTAAGGGGGACGAATACTTTCACAAGGCTCTGCAGATCAGTTCAAACCTGATAGAGAAGTTTTCACATTTACCAGTTTGATGCAGAAACTATTTACTGGACGCTCTAACCATCTGCCTCCTTTAGATAAAACCCCCCTCAACTCTACTAGAACAGAGCGCAATGTTCATCTCTGGCCACAAGGTGGCAGCATTGTCACATGGGGAAACTCCAGCAGCAGGAGGATTCAGTTACATTTTTACTGCTTCATAATATGAATCTGGATCCCGACAGGAAGCAGAATATAAATAATAATGAAGCAGCTGAATGTTTACATCAGTTTTCTAGAATACAGTTTAAAGTTTCTGACTTCCTGTTTCCTTCAGGCTCCAGTTTCTGGTCTAAACTGGTTCCAGTGACGTCAGAAATCAGTAATTATGTTAAAATTCTGCATTTTATGCAAAGTAACAGTTCATGCCAGTGGCATCAGTAGGCCTTCACGTTTATATTCAATTCATGTTTAAAATAAAAATGTGAAATAAAAAAGCTTCTATTATTTGTATTGAAAGCACATTAATGAGGCTGGATTCATATAGAAATAGAGATAGACAGATTAGGCCTGTCTAGAAACCCAGAGTTAGATTATAATCCAGGACCATAATAATCTGTCTACATTATAATCTAATAAAAGTTAATAAATGTAATAATGAGTGGAACTGGATCTTAAATAAACCATAAAGGCAGAAAATATTTCCAGGTCAAAAGCTGCAAATTCTGGACTGGAAGTAAAAAGTTGAGAGATTTTTTCAGTTTGTGTTTGAATAGAAGATGAAACAGAAAGAAGAGGAAGAGGAAGATGATGGTTCTGGTCAGACAGAACTCTTCTCCTTTAATGGATCCAAACCGGTTCCAGTTCCAGTTCCAGTCATGAACTGGTTCCTCAGGCACAAAAATGATTCAGTTCCTTCAGATCTTCATTCTGTCATCAATAATCAATAGTGATCAATCAGAGGCTGCAGACTGGACCAGAGGACCAGGAAGTGTCTCTGTTGGTCCATCAGAACCTTCACTGAGATCGGCTCTGATCCAAAGTCTGACTGGATCAATGATCAGAGATGATCAACCTGATCAGACTGATTGATCAGCCAGCAGTGGAGTCGGATCAATGGAGATTATTCTGGTTCTGGTGTCCTCTGGTTGGACCTGGTCTGTCCCTGCTGAGGAGACAGAGGACAGTTAGAGAGACAATCAATCAGCATCAGGATCAGATGTTGGTAAACGACCTGAACTCATCAAGTCAGAGGATCCAAGAGGATCTACATTCACTCTGCATTCACTCTACATTCACTCTGCATTCACTCATTCATTCTGCATTCATTCTACATTCACTCTGCATTCACTCTGCATTCACTCTGCATTCACTCTGCATTCACTCTG